TGATAGAAAGAGAAAGGAGATAAAATGGACTTCGCTTAAGAATTGTATTTCGATTATATTCAGGGCTCTCCTTACTGACGTTGCAAATACAATTTGAGACGAAGAAAATTAGCAAACCGTCAAAGAAAGTCGCACAAAAGGGTAAACTATGAATTCTTCCAGTAAATGTAAATAAGCTGCAAATCCATATAGCAAATGCTTTAAAGGCGCGGACTAGCCGTGCTAATTAGACACTAACTTAGTACCTTGACTATTACAATTTTTCTGACGCGAATTTCGTGGAAATTTTAGAAGAAAATATTACCTTCGTTACCTGTTTATTTGAGTTTTTGATATACTTGATTTGGATAAGAATAAAATTACCAAAAAAAAGTGAAAAATGACCTAATTTAGATTTAATCATTGATTCTTTGAACATAGTCGTTTATTTATAGGGAATACCATAGAACATCCACAAGGTAAAAAGAGTGCATTACAAATGACCTAAACCAAAATTTGGGTACTAAACCCATAGATAAAACAAAAATGCGAAAAGCAAATAGCTCTGGGGCTCGGTAGTTTCTTGGTATTCACTGACGATACCAATCAAGACCCCAGGGGAATATTTGATTAAATATTCTGGCAGGAAAGCTTTTGGTATCGCAGCAAGGGAAAATAAGTCAATTGGATCATTCTAATATGAGATAGCCATGAATAAAAGATTATATAAACCTATAAATAGCCCCAAGCATAATGAACTGATTTGCAAATAGCGAATCCATGCTAAAATACAAACGAAGATGGGAAAGTAAATTGACAACAAATCTTAAAAACCAAATCCAACCTGCAGTGAGAATAAATATAAATGCAAAATTAGATTGTACAAATTAGATAATAGTGAAAAGTCTACCTCGCGACCGGTAGTCACATGTTGTGCCAATTTGACCTTGGCAAAGTTACCCCTGCCTAGAGTGCGGATTAATTTGTATTTTCCAATATGGGGCTGAGCCTTCCAGGCAGGGCGTGAGACCGATGCGGATCGGGCAGTTGCTCGTACTCCACTATCCCCGAGAGTACTAGATGTCTGAGTGGAGGGAAGATTAGTTATCCTAGAGGTGGCCGAGTCGTTCGGATTGCATGTAGA